CAAATTAATCGATTTGGGTGAATTTTAACTCAAATCAAATCATTCTAACTCTTAAACCAAAACAAACCATTTTTTATTTTTTTAAAAAAAATTGTCCTAGCTTTGGGCCTCAATTAGATTACAAGAACTAAAATAACTAAATAAAACTAAAATAATTTTATATTACAAGAATTATTGACTAACAAGTAAAATCAGATTAATAGAGACAGATTAACAGAAAAATTAAGAATTATATATATATTTTTACGCAGTATATAGTCTTACAGTCTAAGTAGGGAGAAAAAGGTTAATTATAACATAATGAGCTTGTGAATGAAAATTTTCCATACTACTATTTACCAACATCATAGATTGAAGGAAATTGTTATATAGTTATGAAATTATGATTTATCTTTTTATTTTAAAAAAAAATAAAAATAAAAAGATACACATGTAAATGAATTGAGTTTGTTCAATTAACTAGCGATTTGAGACTTCAAACCATAATCGAACCAACCCAAAGTGATTTTCTATAAAATATATATATATATTCAAACCAAAACCAATTATTGTGTCAAATCGACCCAATTCAATTCAAAGTTGTTTAGTTTAATCGATTTTTTGATTTTTTTGTCCAGATCTACTTCGAACATGAAAGCATCAGACTCCACGCAATTTGTACATCACATGATTAAAAGTACACAACGTGAAGGAATTGCAACAAGAAAAGAGAGAGAAAAAGAAAAGGCAAGAAAAAAGGCACAAGTCAGTGAAACACATCAGGACTAAAATTTCAATACAGGCAAATTATTCAGGCGCCAACGTAGCTAGCCTCTGAAACTGAACCACGTCGCAATTGATGTAGGACACTTGTCGGTGACGAATTGGATGTTGATGATCTTAATGCCTCAGCAAGGGGTCCGCCCATTGGAGCCACCTGATTAGTCCCCCATGGTGCACCCCAATTCAATTGAAGCCTATCTCGCTCGCCGTTAATAACTCGAGGCTCAGAGTCATCTCCGTTGTCTCCAGTACTGAGTTTCAGCGAGAAATCTGATGACGGGTTTCCCATCCCCATTGAAATTGACAAGTTGGTGGCCGAAGCCATGGAGCTAGTTGCATTGTCTGTTTCTTGAAGTGATCTAGGCCAATCATCAAAGAAATGGCGAAGGGTTCGGCCACCAGTTTCACTGTTGTTTTGGGCTACAAATGGACCCTTTGTCTCAATTATAGATTCTGAAGGCCTACAGTTGTCATCGACCCATATTAGGCAACTATACGTTGTGTTACTTGTGTACAAAATCTTTATTAATTCCTAGCAATACAAAAGAAATCAAGAAAATGAAGATTTCATGCTCCTTAATTTGCCTGATAGTAAAATGCCACTAGCACTCTATACGACTCCATATGATCAAATTATTCTTGATCCGAATTAAGATTTTTACCCAAAAAGAATCATGGGTGAAAAGTCTGGTAGAAAATTGAATGGGACCTTTGCAATGGATAAGAAAACAGGTGGTTGGGGTGAGTTTGTGCAATAAGTGGCCTTGTGCTTTGTCCAAACTCAAAAATATCATAGCAGGGTCCTACAGAGATACTGAAAATCTAAAGTGAATTCATTTAGTGGACCTCAATCCAACAAAGACAAAAGAGTACTGGGAAATGCTGTTTGAGAATATCAAACCATTTTGATGGCAAAGATCATTGAATTAAGTTACCATTCAAATTCTTCCTTTTGGGGAACATATTATTGCTATCAGAAATATGATCAGACTCCCCCAACCCCCACAAAATAAGTTTAAAAAATCCAATTTGAAATACAAGATTTTTTGCCCTTTTATTGTAATCAATAAACTAATTAGTTCTTGATGGCATAATCCTTATAAATCTTAATTTGATAGCATAATGAGAAAGTTTAGCCATTAGTTTATTTCTTTTCTTGATTATAGACTAAAAGCAAGTTTCAAATAGGAGAAAACTTATATACCTTTGATTGAAGTGAAGAAGATCCATGGAAGGTGAAGGCCCAGAAAGAGAAAAGGGCATGGTGCCACCGCCACCACCTGTTGCTTCCCTAGTAACGGCGTTGCTCGTCTTGAGGACTTCTCCATCACCATTGTTGCCGGCTTTGCCGCTATAAGGAGTGGTGGTGGACGTGTGGATTTCCACAGGCTTTCTTGAACGGTTGCGGCCGCGGTGAACATGGCGCTCGCAGTACTTCTGCCCGGCAACTACATCCCTCGAGCACCGCCATTTCTTGCCGTCAGTCCTCCGGCATCTGCCTGGTTCCGGATCCATGGCCCCTTTTCCCCAGTACGCAGGTTGCAGCACTGATCCACCATTGATATACACAGTTAAGCACAATAATTAATTAATCCAATCTTATCATAAAGCAAATGAAAGTTCTTTCTGGCAAAGCTAATTAATTAATTTAATCTTATAATAAGGAAGCTGAACTTTATACATGTTTCAAATATGCAATTTCGCATATTCCAAGGACTAGATGCCAAGCAACATTCTTGAAAAACTCAACTCGATTTTATCAAGTAACTTGCTTGGCTGGTAAAAGATAAAATTTACTATTAGTAAATATGTGCCTTGTACTAGATACTATATGAGAATAGAAATATTGTGTGGTCGACGCCTTATTGCTAGAAATTGAGTCCTAAAGTAACAAATAAATCAGAAACGCAAGAACCCGCAGATTTATAAGAATTCATCATCAACTAGAGAGCTAAGTCGAGAAAAAGATTTCCCCACACAAGGTTAGAGTGATCTAAGGCCCTTCAAAAAGGACAGTGACCTAATACAAATATGGAGTGTCTGGCATCTAGTACTAGTGCAGACAAAGAAATAATAAGCTGGACTGAGAAAAAAAAAGCACTAAAAACTTACAACCTGGCTGATAGTGGGGATAGTAGTGTTGAGAGAGGTAATATGGAGGAGAAGGAGAATTGATGAGGCTTTTCTTAACAAGATGGAGTAGTTCAGACGGAACAGCAGCACCAGCTATCATATGTTTGTAGATCAATGCCTGCAGTTCAAGTTCTTGCCACTGGGCCAAGCTGAAGTAACTCCCCATCCCTGACAACATCCCACAACAAAAAAGAGAGAAAGAGCTCGTAAGCGAAACTTGTAAGCTAAAAAAACCCAGAAACTTAACTTTCTGAAGACACTGTCACCCACACATGGATGAGAAAGAAAGAGAAAGAGAGAGAGAGAGAGAGAGAGAGAATAATACAGGGAGCTTTGTTGGCAGAGGTTGTGGTTGAATCAGAAGAGTAGGCTGACAGGTTGCTGGTGAGATTAGGTACGAACAATGGGAGCGCAGGACCAGGTGGTTGCTGTGGATGAGAGTTAAGGAGAAGTCTTGGTAGTTTTGCAGAAGGTATTTGTTGTTGTTCTTCTTCTGACTCATGCTGGTCTCTCCATTTCTTCAGATTGAAGTCCATGGAAAAAGCAATTAGATATACACAGACGGTTTGTTTGGTTATAGTAAACTTTGTTTGGTATGTTATGTAAGAGAAAGTTTGTAAAAGCTTTTGCAGGGGACTTGTGTGGACCCTCTATATCTTTTGTTTTGGTTCATCAATTTCATTTGCAAGTGGAGAAGAAGTTTAGGGCACTTGAGACAAGACAGTTTAGAGAGGAAAAAAAAAAGTTAAAATAAAAAATAAAAGAGTAAAAGCATGGAGAGTTGGGTGCGTAGGGTGGGGTTAGTCTGCAGACTGTCTGTCTGTCTGTCTGTCTTTGCAGCTTTGGAAACAGAACAAAAGATAGTATCAGTCATGACTCATAAGTAGGGCTTCAAGAAAGATAAAGATAGATATATAATTTTACAGTGTAAAAATAAAATGTAAATGCCATTGCATTTTCACTGCAAATCAAGAATTGAGACCAGGGTGGGGAGAGAGAGGGAGATGAAAATGCGAATCCCACCATTTCAGGCCAAGTCAGTCAGTCTTGTCTAAGTTGGTCAATTGCATTGAAATGTAGTTTAAACATAAGTTCAGACCTCAAATTCTATCCTCTATTTAGTAATTTGAATGTGTCATTTCATCGTTTCGTGTTCGATAAAAGTTAAAAATAGGCTGCCTGCATGCATGAACAACAATTTTCCAATGTTTTTGGCTTTCTGTTGACCAACTATAATTATAAAACAGAAGAAAGATAGTGAAAATGGCAAAATGACCATTTTTTCAAATTGATCTTGAATTAATAAATACAACTTTTGGATTGTGTTTTCTATTGAAATATCTTTTGGAAAATTTTTATTCATATCCATCAAACATAGCACAAAAGAGCCCTGAAATGAAGATTGAATCGGACTATTCAAACTTTATCTACCATATAACTACCAAATTCACGATATATCAAAAACAAAGCATGATATTCTTAGCTCTTGTTTGGCTCCTATTTTTTTAAACACATATTTCTTATAACTAAATTTCAATCACGACTTATAACTTTTATCAATTCTTCACTCACACAATTCTTTAAATTTTATCAAAATGTACTAAAAATTGAATTTTATCTAAACCAAACAAGGGCTTAATTACTTGTTTAAAACTAGCATATGACCTCAATTACAATAAGCATTAGCCCCTTCAATTTGTATATAAATACAAAAGCACACACCATGCTATGCTCAAGCTAATCAGAAATTTTGTATGATAATTAATTTAGAGGTCTAGTCTATGCCTAACACGTGGAGATGGCTTTTGTGTTTTTAATTACAATTACAAAGGGTTGGCTTTGCCATTTGTTAATAAATAAACTTTGTTAGTAATAATTATTTACATTTACCAATATATTCGAGTAACGTGAAATTGTTTTTCTAGGTGTTATTCTCAGACAAGATAAAGGTCATCTCGTGCCTAGGGTCATGTAAATTATATATTTTCCAGCCTTCCCCATGTTATGGCATGATAATCGCGAGGTTTCCATCCCCACTTTCTGGTCAAATCTCCTAATTTTTATTTTTCCTTTTTCATGTTTACTGCTCATTTTTTTAATAATAATTATTGGAAAGTACATTACGAGTCCATTGGTGGGTTTTCAGCAATTTCTACTTTTTTAAAACTTTTGTAAAAATGTTCAAATATGTATTTCTCTATTCGAATATCTGCCGGGTACGCCCATTCAATTCACTTATTCATTATGAATTTGACTTAGTACGAAAGTATAAGTGCATCCTCAACTTGCATTTTTTGTTGGAAAAAATCATGGATGATAACGTTGATATTGTTGCAAACGTCGTACCTATACCAAAAATTTTGGTTTTCATCTTTAATCAACAATGAATTTTATTTTTTTTTATTTGCTAATCTTAATATTGGAAGAAAATTGAAATTTTTATTGATAATTGAGATCATATTGTAAAAATCAAGTGGATTACTTGCTTTACATGCAAACATTAAATTCTTCTTTACATCAAGAATTCTGTTTAATTGTTCCATGGATCTATCAGTGTTTTGCTGTAGCCTAATCATTTTTAGAGGCTGTTTGGGAGTGATTTTGAGAATTGATTTTTTGACCGTTAGGGAAAAAGTCGGGTCCACCTGTGAGTGAAGAAGTCAAATATGATGGATGAAATAGTAAAATAACGATAAAAAAAATCAATTTTTTGGGAGAAAAATCACTCTCAAACAGACCTTTAGTCACTATTTTTTAGTAATTAACATCATTTTATTGTTTATGAGTATACAAGGAGTAGTAACGCTGCAACATCTGATTGCAAAGCACTCTAATTTATAAAAATCCTAAAACAGTAAATATTCTTCAAATCATTAATTAATAAAATTTTAGTTGTATTTATCTGAAAGACATTGCCAAACTTAGGTTTGTTCTTGATTTGATGACTTTCGTGCTTGGAGTAGTGTTCTAAATAGCATGACAATGCGCGAGGCGAGGCTAAGCGCTTGGCGTCTTATTTGACGGTCAACGAACACGAGGCGAGGCTAAGGTGACTAGGGATGCATTATTAGGTTTTTTTCTTTCTTTTTTTACAATTCTTTTAAGTTAAAACTTATAATTATTAAATAATTTTTTATTGATTAAAATTTTAAAATAATATTACAATAAGAAAAGGCTTTTTTACGCATTTATCTTGTCTAATCTCGCATTGCTCTTAGCTTGGCATCAACGCATCGCTACGCATTACGCTTTTTAGAACACTTGCTTGGAGTAATTAAGGTTTTCGTATGAAGTAGATGACAATGAATGAGATCTGAGGAAATAATCCAAACACCTGAGTAAATGTCAGAAATGAGCTTATAGTGGTCCAATACTTGATTTATTTTTTGAACAACTAACTACTGTTTTGTTAAGATGGAACATAACTTTCAGTTAAATTGAGAGAATTGTTAGGTGTGTATACAATTTTGTCATCAATGTTTACGTAATCGAGTGGCTATGTAAATCAAATATTTAAGAAATTTGAAGATCTAGATCCTCTCTTTTAATGGTTGAAGACTCATAATCACACTACATGAAAGGAGAAAAAATGATGCATTTACATATTTTAATTGAATCGACCGTGTTAGAATTAGATAAAAATATCACCTTTTTTTTTTTCTTTTTTTCTTTTTTTCTTTTTAATGCAGGAACGTTCCCTTAATCAAAATCTTGGACAAACAAACATATTTCTTTTTTGGCAGAATTTATTTAATTTATTTATCTATTAGGATTTTTATTTGAGGTAGAGTAATTAGTTCTTTAAAAGCTAGAATCTGGTAATATGTTATTTTGTTGTTGATTGAATAGAACGGGGATTTTTCCAATGTTATTGTTTAAATCAATATTAGTTCGCAGACCAACGGCTTGTAGTAGAAACTGATTCTCAAAATTGTTTAAAAGAATCAATAAGTTGAGAGTTGATGAATCAAGGCAATTGTGATCTTCGTTTCACTACATTCTTCTGCCTGCATCTATTTGTCTCTACAACACCATAAAACCACTCCCTTCGAATTCCGAGATTTCTATGTAATCACCTACGTTATGGCTAAGCTTAGACCATAAATTTCACCGAGGAGATGTGGAATTGTACAGAATAGATTGGAACAATAAAAGAGAATACAGTGTAAATAGTGGTAGAGAAGTAAATTGAACGATGGCATACAAACGAGAAACAAAGAGTATATCCAAACTCGAAATCTTCAAGATAAATCGACTTGTAATCAGTGACGGAGGTTGTCGTTCAAGAAGAACATTTGAATCAATACCTCCTCATCACGTTGTACAATCCAATCCCCCGTTGGTAATTATACACATAATATTTTTTTGTTATATACACCACAATTTAATTAAAATAGAGGTCCTCAATTTTTTTTATTTTTGTATTTATATCCCAAACTTTTTCGTTGCATTCTCATTCTTAAGCTTAATTAACTAGCCCGTCTTGTTTTTTGATAATTGTTTCAGTTCAAATACTCAATTAGCATTGTTTGAAATTGACAAGTGTAGTTCCCACACTTTTTCGGAGGTCCTAAATAATGATATTTTGTTATTTTTTAGATAAGTTAGTATTTAATTTGTGCTATGAAAAGAGATAAAATAGAAGAAAATAGAAAGAAGTCAATAGACTTGTGTGTGTTTTATTAAAAATCAAAATCATATATTTATAGGTAAGAATTAGGGATACGACGATAATAACTTTTAGGGCGGCAGTGATACGATTGTTATTCACTGTAAATTTACCATTTACAATACTCTCCTTTAAATGACACATTACAAAATATCCGCCTCATTAAAATCTTGCTTGATAAAAATCGGTTGGGAACGAAAAAAATAGCACAGTTATTTTGAAGTATTAAAAATAAATGCTGCGTCATTCAAACATTAGTAGGAAAACAAGTGGAATAAGACCTAAGCGAAGGAAAATAGTACAACTACTCCCTCTTGATGTTGATCACTGAAAATTTTTGAGTCGACGCATTTCAATTTCTTGAACCAATTTTTTAAATGTAGATGTCGATAATGCTTTTGTAAATAACTTGGCCACATTGACGTTTGAGCGAATTTGTTGGACATTGATGTCATCATTCTTTTGAAACTCATGTGTGTGAATTTTTTTTGGAGAAATATGCTTCTTCCTGTCACCTTTGATATAACCTCCTTTGAGTTGTACAATACAAGTTGCATTGTCTTCATACAAGATTGTTGAACTTTTTTATTGAAGTTAACCCGCATGATACTTGAATATGATAGGTCATGTTCCTCAACCATACATATTCTCACCCTGGTCCATGGATTGCAATAATTTTAGAATAATTTGAGAATGTTGCTGTCAAGTATTGTTTCACAGATCTCTATGATATATATATCTATTCATCCACGTGTAAATATATATCCTGTTTGTGATTTAACTTTATGTGAGTAAGAGAAATAACTTGTATCTGCATATCCAATTAAAGCAAATCCCAACTTTTAAGAATATAATAATTCAAAATCAACAATGCCCTTTAGGTAACGAAAATATATGTTTAACACTATTCCAATGTCTTTGAGTTGGTATAGAGATAAATCTTGAAAGAAAATTTACAGAAAAGTTACGTCTGGTCGAGTACAGTTTGCCAGA